AAAAAGAAGCACGTGGTTCATGGGAGTCGTACCAAACTCAGCTTATGGAGAATGTAAACAGTTTGCATCTGCCAGAGACAGCTCTAGATGAGAAACTGGCAGCACAGTCACCTTTATCTTTTGCAGGTGAAAAGGGGTGGAAGAAGAATGTCACTCGAACGTTAACATTTCCACTTGTGCCTTGTGTCCGACCCTTTCTCCTCTTTTTGTTCATTAAGCCTCCAGTTAAGCTTTTCTTTGGAGGCTCCTGCAACCTGCAATGCATTCAAAATTGCAGAGGAGAACTCTTGTGAGTTGTTGACAGTAACATTTAATCTTGCTACTTCATTGTATAATAAAAAATGCCCCGTCACTGTATTTTCCATCATATTGCTTGCCTGGATTGTGTTCCTTTGTGCTAAAGTGCTAAAGTCCTTTGTGCTAAAGCGAACGGAGCTCTTTGCATCCGTCCTGATCTATCGGCTGTGTGCTCTAAGGTGCCACTTTGTCAATATCTCACATGCTTTGTCTTTGCTTCACCTGAATCCTGTGCTTTTGACTTAGTGAAGGGCAGATAGTGGTTTTTTTAAAGTATAAGTACATGTTGCTCTCACAGACACACATACCTCCTGAGAAACCAACACCGTCCCTCAGTTCTCAGGTCTGCATGAGCTTTGCACCATGAAATCAAAATTTATACATATCCCACTGAGCCGAGGATGGCAAAGGAGGAGCCAGCATTGTATTAATTATTTTCCAACAAAATAGCACTGTGGTCTTGTGGAAAAGGTGAGATTTCACAACACCAGCAAGCTGTCACCAAGGATGTCCAGGACACGGGATGCAATCCCCACACTTCAGTCCCACTGCTGTGCTTGAGCATGGAGACCTATCAGTGGTGAAATCCAAACTCTGTGCTGCTTTTCAGATGTATCCATTTACCTGCTTTACAAGCTGATAACTACCTCTAAAGCCCTGGCTGATTTGCTGAGGGCTAATTAGAACTGGGATGCTGGCGTCATTTGCTTGCAAGACCATTTTTAACCTGTCAGTGAGCGTATTCATTTGATGGCCCCTTTCTTCATTTCAGTGCCTTTGACAGTTTCTTCTTGACAGCAATCCTTTCTACTGCATACAAAAAAGTGCTGCCATATGCAACTAGGATACTCTGGAAAAATATTTATTAAGGCAGGGCAATTAAATGGGAGGGGTGTTTGGGAATGTGGTGATATAATACTCATGATATTCAAGTGGGACTACCTTTGACAAACAGAGAGATGTGAGTAGAATGCAATGACTTGCTAATTGGGCCCACAGTGCAAGCATAGTTTACATAAACATCTTGTTAATTTCATGTCCTGGGGCCTTAATATATCAGGTTCCACATTCTCTGATTAGTCCAAGAAGATTCTCCAAGCTCTCTACTCCAGTAACAGGTAGAGACTGGGGGTGGGTGAGGGATCCCCTATAATCCGGTATTTTCATGCTCTCCTTTCCTGTCTTCTGGAGCTTGGCAAAGAAAGTAATGGTAAAAGGCAGGGCTGTTTTTGGGCAGGAACACACAGGAACGGAGTTCCGGCTGGCTTCAGAGTTGGCCACGCCCACTACAGCCAAAACCTCTGCATGCGTGGCTACAGAGGGAAGGCCTGGAGAGCGACATTCCCCCCCCCCTGGTGACTCTGTGGCGGGGGCCCCAGGGGCCCCTGGAAGGATTAGGGAGGCATTGAAATGCCTCCCCATGCCTTCCCCGGCCTGGGCAAGCCAAAGGAAGGCATGGGGTGTGTCCTAATATGCTAATGAGTTGCACTGTCAGGGATGTGGCCTCATATGCTAATGAGTTTCTGCTGTTGGGTGTGGCCTATTATGCTAATGAGTTCCTGCTGGGCTTTTTCTACAAAAAAAGCCCTGGTAAAAGGGAAGGTCAAAGAGGTTCTTCTGACTTCGGCTTGTTCTCTGTTAGACTCTGCCTAAAACTACAAGATTGAATCCATGCTCTGGAGCCAGGGACATCTATTTTTAGGAAGGTGCAATTCAATATACACAAACCAGCTTTCATTAATATTACACTGTATGCACTAATGTTCTTTCATTTTGCACGAAAAAGCTATATTGACCCACAAGTCAGTAGCCCGTGTTTCCCTTAGATCACTGTGATGATTCTGTTGCCAAATGAAACTGGAGATAAAAGATAACCAATTCTAGCTAATGTAAGGTAAAGGTAAAGGTTCCCTTGCTCGAAAGCCAGTCGAATCCGACTGTAGGGTTGCAGTGCTCATCTCCATTTCAAAGCCGAAGAGCCAGCGCTGTCCGAAGACGTTTCTGTGGTCATGTGGCCGGCATGACTAAACACCAAGGTGCACGGAACGCTGTCTACTTGCAATTTCTTGCTTTCGAACTGCTAGGTTGGCAGGAGCTGGAACTAGAGACGGGAGCTCACTCCGTCATGCGGCACACTCGGGTCTCGAACTGCTGAACTACCAACCTTCCACAGCCTGCAGTTCAGCGTCTTAACCACTTCAGGCACCACAGCTCCTTCTAGCTAATGTAGGGATGTCATATTGAAGAAATGTTACATGATGTGCTGTTGAGGCCATGCAACACCTGTGCATGTGCTTCTGTGTCTTTGCAAACAGTCACAAAGTCTCATGTATTTTCCACATGGTTAGACTACCATGGCATGTATACCTCATTTTATTATTTGGGGCCTTTATTGGCTTTTCCATGTGTCATTGTTGAAGTTGCGTGGTGAGATGAGCATCTTCTGATCCACAGAGGAAGGGACATGGGTCAGTGGCAGAGCATCTGCTTTGTATGCAGAAGGTCCCAGTTTCAGTCCTCAGCATCTCCAGCTGAAAAGGATCAGACAGAACATGTGATGTGAAAGACCTCTACCTGTGACCCCAGGGAGCAGCTGACAGAGAGAGCAGACAATACTCACCTTGATAGATGCCTGGGCTGACTCAAGGGAAGCCTCATATCTCCACCTTTCATGTAGTGAGATCTAAAATTCATCACATTTTGGAGATAAATTTCAGGCCTCCACTGGAGCAGGTTCATAAGTAAAAAAAAAATCATGTGAAAATATTAAGTGAAAATCACATTATGAAGTTAAATATATAAAAATGAATGTGCAAAGACGTCACCAGCTTCACCAATGGAAGTATTTGCAGTTCTGTGACATTTAATAACTGTCCTGGACAACAGTTTGGGTGAGCTAACATTACAGTTATAACAAACTGATGGTTGGTCCTACCATTAAGTAAAGTGGCTGCTTTGGACAGAGGATTATGGACACATTAAGGCCAGCAAATGATTAATTATCTAGTTTAGCATTATATAATTACTGCAACATGTGCTTGTTTTCAAAATAGGAAAATCTGTTTGCATTCTCCACTGTGAATATCCTGTTTGCACTGAATTGCAAAGTCATGTGATCCAACTGGAAGGAAGAGCAACTTCCAGTGCTATAGAAGAACATTCTGGCAAAAATGTATGAAGGGCTGGCAGCAGGACTGCAACATTAAGCTTCCCACTCGTCACTTCCATCTACAGATCTGGGCCTGGTGACCAGTAACTGGGCAGGCTTTTCCTCTTGCTTGGCTCCTGGAAAATCTCACTGGCCCCTACATTCTGGAAAAACACTGTGCCCCTGATTCTACAGCTATCTATCATTAAACCTTGTTCTTGTTTTACTCTCACCTTTTTACTGATTCTCCCATGTGGGCTGAATAGCCTACAGCCTTGAACACCAGGTTAAAAATCTAGTGGCGTTGTCTAATTTTGCTTAGGAAAGCCTTCCTGTTTCTCAGAATGCAGTTTATGTCACCTGCTATTATTAATGGGAGATGTAAGGTAAAGGTAAAGGTTCCCTTGCTCGAAAGCCAGTCGAATCCGACTCTAGGGTTGCGGTGCTCATCTCCGTTACAAAGCCAAAGAGCCAGCGCTGTCCGAAGACGTTTCCGTGGTCATGTGGCCGGCATGACTAAACACCAAGGCGCACGGAACGCTGTTACCTTCCCACCGAAGTGGTCCCTATTTATCTACTTGCAATTTCTTGCTTTCGAACTGCTAGGTTGACAGGAGCTGGAACTAGAGACAGGAGCTCACCCTGTCTTGCGGCACCCGGGTCTTGAACCACTGAACTACTGACCTTCCACAGCCTGCAGTTCAGCGTCTTAACCACTTGAGCCACCGCAGCTCCATAATGGGAGATGTACAGTGCACCAAAGTACAGCACGGCACTACTATGGTATTCCTTTGGCTTTTTGACTTTGAGGAATGTGCTATAGAAAGCACACTCCACTATTCACTCACAAGTTCAATATTTGAGAAAGACCGTCCTCAGTTTCTGGAAAGGCAAACTCATTGCTCAGACTTTCAAATAATGGACTATTTATTGGCATGTCCAGATAAGGATATTAGCAGGTCAGTGCTTGGTTTTGCTTTAGCTGCAGTTTAAAGCTGCCAAAGCTGTTTAAATGCTTCTACTATTGATTGTAGACCGGATGCAGGCTTCTGATGTTTCACTGAAATGTAATGTATCTTTTTCTTGCAATGCTGCTGTTTTTATGTATAATGTGAAACATCTATATTCTGTTTGAGGTGGCAATGGGTCAATATAAAACAAACTACCTACTGCTGAGCAGAAAGCAGCCCCCCCCCAATAAAACCACAGAGATCTAGATTTCCTCTTTATTGGAATGAAAGATAACGTCACAGCTTTCTGTTGGTATAATTCTCCTTTAAATGCGTAAATATGTGTCACCTTAAAAATTAAAAAGAGAGAGAGAGAGAGAGAGAGAGCGCAAGAACAGTTCCTAAAATACCAAATGATACCATGAATAGTGCTAGTAATAAATAATGCCCTTGACTGGCACAGGGCCTCTCCTGCCCTGTCCAAGAGCAGCGTTGTGTACAATGGAGATAAGTCCAATCTGGCCATTTGGAGAATGAAAGGGATGCTTTATAGATCACCCCGAGTGACTTGAAGGCTCTGGGCCAGCCCGACCCTGGCTGATTTCCTAGATGGCAATGTCAGTGTTGTCAATATTGTTCATGTTCTTGTCCAATTTGCAGCAAAAATACTGGTTCCAGATTTGCAGGAATGTGGTCCTGAATTTTTTAATCCTAAAGGCGTAAACAATAGGGTTCATGGCTGAGTTCCCATGGGTAAGAAATATAGCAATGTAGGTAAGGGCGCTAGGGGTCTTGCAGGAGGTGCAGAAAAAGCTGATGCAGTTGCGCATGTGCAGGGGCAGCCAGCTGACTGCGAACAGGAAGAGAACCAAGGCAAGGGACTTGGCAATTTTCAGCTCCTTCCCGTAATATTTCTCGGGGTCTGTTGTGCTGGATGCAACTTTTTTGTTAAGTTGCCTACGGATGATCTTGAAGACCTCCAGGTAGATGAGAAGCATGAGGAGCAATGGAGGTAACACCCAGATAAAGAAATTGAAGTAGACCATGTATTCCATGCTGATAACATTCTCAAACTGGCAACTGACTGTGAACTCTGTCTGGCTGGAATTTGCTTCCTTAGCCTTTCGTTGCATTTCGTTGAAATTGTTCCAGCCAAACATAGGGGTCAGCCCCACAAGGAAGGAGACCAGCCAGCAGCAAGCAATAGCCGCCCCAGCACGCCTGGGAGTCACAACACTCCTGTAGCTGTGGAATTAGAGGGAAAAACACACGTGTTATGATCTTACATAAGTGGGAAGGTAGCATCTCTAGTCAATTCTGACAACCACACAAAAGATACACAGAAAAATCACCAGGCCCCAGAATAATTAAAAATAAGGTTACATTTTCAAAAATAACTGAATGTTAACATTCATAAAAGCTGATGGAAACCTGACTCAGTGCTATAGCCCATCGTCATGCAAGTCTGAAAAAGGGGCAGGCAACAAGATATGGAGATAGAAATCAATGTTTACGAACGAGTACAGTAGAGGAACAACGACAAGATACAAAATAAAAGAAAACACAAAGAACTGCAGAACAACAAGAAGATACAAAATAAAACAAAACACAAAGAACTGCAGAACAACAAGAAGATACAAAATAAAACAAAACACAAAGAACTGCAGGGGAGAGCAGGCCCAGAAATTACTACATATAGGACCCCAGCATGTATTTGACCTATTATTAATACAGAGGTTGGAGAGAAAATCGAGGGAATCCCTCCGCAACTTGATCACTGGTAGGCCAGGAAGGAGCTGGCAAGAGAAGACTATTGCATTTTCACATTCAGTGCTTAAACTGGTATATAATGTCAACATGAAAACTACCTGGGCTAGAATGTACACTCAGTTTATTTCCCTGTTCCTCAATAACAACAATGGCAGACAGGATAAACAGTGCAAGAGTCTCAAGGCCACAATTTGTGTCTCATGTGACAGCAGTCTCTATGTCTGTGCCTAGGATCTGTAGGCAAATGTTAATCTTCTATCCATCAGTGGCTATTAGCCACAAGGTATAGATAGGGACTCTGGGGCAAGTGATGCTCTGTCATCTTGGTGCTTGGGGGGGGGGGGTCAACAGTGGGATGGCTTCTAATGTCCTGGCCCCACTGGTGGACCTCCTGATAGCACTGGTATTTCTGGCCACTGTGTGATACAGAGTGTTGGACTGGATGGGCCTTTGGCCTCATCCAACATTGGCGTCTCTTATGTTCTTATGTTCTAGAGAGCCAAGGAGTAAAAAGGGCTTTGTAATGAGTGTAAAACGCTCCTGCAAGGGAAGCATTCCAGACTCATAGAAATGAAGGGCTTCTTTGCCTGTTCCAAAGCAACACATGAACCACTGGATCACAGAGCTATATTGAGATGGCTATTCTTTCTGATACCCAGTCTCTGTTGGTTAACTGAAGTTAGTTTATTCCAGGAGTCAAGTGAAAACCCTGTAACTCAGTCAAAGATCATACATGGTTTTTTTTTAAGATTTCTATTTAAAATTAATCTAATCTAATGAGCACACAGGAAAGGATCACAGTGATACAGATATCCTTGCATATGTAAATGAAATTAGAAACAGAACTACATACATATAATCTCTTATCCTGTGTACTTTAAGAGAAAAAGATAAAATAGTTTCTGACATTCTTGCCAAAGTGCTTTCAGAAAGGTTAGATAGCCTCACACAACCCACACCTGAAAGACTCAAGGATGTGTTGGGTGTGCCTGTCTTATATAGCCCCCCCAAACACATGATCATACCAAAACCTTCCAATTTGTCACTTTTAATGGTATAAGGTGAGTGCGCTTCTCTGGGGTTAGAAGAAATTGCCCATAGAAATGTATATATCGAATCTGTGAGTTTGTTCAGAGATTTTTCTGGGCTATCTATTCAGTTATCTCTTTTCTAAGGATGGAACTGAGAATATAGCTGAGAAAGAAGAACTTGTACAAGTTTTGCAAATTTGAAAAATAAAACTAATTGTTAAGCCTGCTGCTTGTTCAGTCAATACCTCTGACAGACGATGGTCTGTGGCAACATAAACTATGAACTGGAGGTCCCTGGTTTGAGCTGAGTTACAAACTCATTATGATTGTGGTCTCTTCAACCTTTCTAGACCTAGGACCAATGCCCCCTCTAAGCTGTGGAGTCTTGTGAGCAAAAATTCTACTTTGTGAGCTACTGGCATTAAAGTTGTGAGTGAGCTATTTGGCTACTGCATAAATTAGTTTGCTCTGGAGCCATCCTTCCTCAGCTAAGACAAAAATGTGTGAGATGGAGCCTAAAAAACTGTGAGCTAGCTCACACTAACTCAGCCGACTTACTTTCATCCCAAATGGCTGGGTGGGACACAGTGAGTTGTTATCTCGTGGCAGGCCCCCGTCTGAACGCACCCAGTGAGTTGTTATCTCATGGCAGTGAGTCACATGACATTATTCAGGTGACAGCCAAGAGAAGAAACTCTGAACCTGCTATGCAAAAAAGGAATCATCTCCACTACTGAGTGACTTTGCCTTGCTGTCACGCTTCTTGTCTCAGGGTGCATGGAAAAGGAGACAGGAGGCATCGGGCCTGCTTGTTCTCTCTGTGTATACATACTAGTAGCAGGTTGTTCCAAAAATGGCATCAATATAATGGCTTGTGGCTAGGGATGCATTAGGAAATTCATGGAGATTTGGGAGGGGAGGAGTGCCTGAGAGACAAGGGTTCGGGGAGGGGAGGGTATAATTACAGCACAGTATAATTAATGCCATAGATTCTACCCTCCAAAACAGCCATTTTCTCCAGGGGAACTGTCATCTGGAGTTCAGTTCTAACTCCACGAGATCTCCATGTCCCACCTGGAGGCTGGCAGCCCTACGTGACCCAGCAGGTGGGGCTCCATGACCCACCTGAGGGTCGTGACCCAGGGTCTGACGACCACTGGACTATGGCCAACCCCTGTCTTTCGGATTTCTCTCATTCATCTCAGTTGATCTCTGTAATACAAAGGTGACAAAAGCACTACATTGCTGAAGTGCTTTGAGCATTTAAATAAAGTGCTATGAAATATTGCAATTATTAGCAGTAGCATTAATAAACTAACAAACTGCAGAACACCTTCTGCTGATCCTACAGAACAGGAAACAAACTGCAGAACACCATCTGCTGATCCTACAGAACAGGAAATGCAAAGAAAATGAGGTCCTATTCAAAATCTACAGGCTCTCAAAATGCTGTGTGCAGGCTTCCAGGATGTATAGAACAATGCCCCTAGTTAAACATCTGTTTTCCCCCCTACAGTAAGCACATAACAAAGACTTTTAAAAAATTATTATTATTAAATTTATACCCCGCCCTCCCCACAAGGGCTTTCTTTATTCAAGCATTTATATGAGTAAAAGAGAAAAGATAGCCAAGAGAAAAAAAATCCTACATTCTCTGAATGTGTATGTACTTGACCACCAAAATACTTTATGGTATTACCAGCGTTTATGCATGTATTGCATTCATTTAAAAAACACACCTAGAAATGGTTGCTGTGTTCCCTAAAATACCTTCAGAGACTACTTTTCTCTACCCAAGTTCATTTGTGGTATGACCACTGGCTTATGCATCAGCACCCAGTGCCACTCTTTAGCAGGTGGTCCGTTGTACCTTGCTTACCGTCCACCTTTTACGCTGTCTCAGAGCATGCAAATGGACACACACACTCATGCACACCCCTTTTTTGTTTTTAATGTTATTCATTTTAAAAATGATTCCCCCTCCATGCAATACAAGCTAACCTAAGCAACCACCACCATCTGCTGATCCTACAGAACAGGAAATGCAAAAAAAATGAGGTCCTATTAAAAATCTACAGGATCTCAAAATGCTGTGTGCAGGCTTCCAGGATGTATAGAACAATGCCCCTAGTTAAACATCTGTTTTCCCCCCTACAGTAAGCACATAACAAAGACTTTTAAAAAATTATTATTATTAAATTTATACCCCGCCCTCCCCACAAGGGCTTTCTTTATTCAAGCATTTATATAATTAAAAGAGAAAAGATATCCAAGAGAAAAAAATCCTACATTCTCTGAATGCGTATGTACTTGACAGCTAAAATACTTTACGGTATTACCAGTGTTTATGCATGTATTGCATTCATTTAAAAAAAAAACACCTAAAATGGTTGTTGTGTTCCCTAAAATACCTTCAGAGACTACTTTTCTCTACCCAAGTTCATTTGTGGCTTATGCATCTGCACCCAGTGCCACTCTTTAGCAGGTGGTCCGTTGTACCTTGCTTACCGTCCACCTTTTACGCTGTCTCAGAGCATGCAAATGGACACACACACTCATGCACACCCCTTTTTTGTTTTTAATGTTATTCATTTTAAAAATGATTCCCCCTCCATGCAATACAAGCTAACCTAAGCAACCACCTTCCTGACAGAATCGACAGGCACTTGGCAGCAGACAGTTTGTTTTGAAACAAACATCATCAGTCAAGTCATTTAGTAGCTCAGCAACTGCCACTTTCCTCAGAAGACATTCCATTTTTAGTGGGAACAGATGCCTTGAAGTGGGGGGCTGGTCATGATGTTTACACTGCTCTAAAGCTGCTGATATTCTGATAAACAGCATTTCGGAGTATTTGGAAAGTGCCATATCTGCAGTGGGAAAACTGGTCTTTCCTATTCTGCTACTCTGCATCTATGGGAGATAGCTCTGGAAAAGTCAGGGGGGGGGAGAGAAACAGATCAACAAAGCCAGAATGATACCCAGAGAAAGCCTGTTACAAGACAGGCCCAAAAGAACCCCACTAGCGGTCACATACAGCTCTCAACTCAAAACAGTTCAACGCATCATCGACTGAATAACGACAGTTCTCTTTCACAAGCATTGGAAGGCAGGCCTTTTCTTGCACACAGACAACCCCCTAATCTTAAACAACTCCTCACCCACAATAATGTAACATCTAACTTGAACATGGACCCTGGTACCAGAGCTTGCAATAAACCCAAATGCCAATTTGCTGCCACACACACCCAGACAACGTGATCACTGGATCTAACAACATCAAATCCACCATCTCAGGCTCATTCACTTGCTCATCTACTAACATTGTATATACCATTAAATGCCAACAAGGCCCTTCGGTTCTCTACATAGGGCAAACAGGTCAAACCCTATGCCAAAGGATGATTGGACACAAATCTGACATCAAGAATCACAAGACTGAAA